TTCTATATCTTATTGCTATAGTTTTATATATACAAAAATTTACCCCGTGATATATCGTGTAACTAATATGTTAGTAATGGATGGAACAGGTGATACATTCTTACCTTTTTCAATATAATTAGTGGCTAATGGAATAGAATCTATTTTTTCTGATTTCAGAATTGCAATTTCAGATATGTTAAATATAGGAATATCTGTGGAAGTATTGGTAGATGTCTCGGCTTGAGGTGCATTAGAAAATTTTTCTATATCGATACTCTTTTCACATAGTTTGCTTATGATTTTAAATTGATCAAGAATGTATTGATATATTCTTACTCCATCGTCACGTGAACATATATGATCAATACCTATTTGTGAAATTTTTTTCTAAAAATATTACTAGTGGATGGTTTTTTTTCATTATCTTTACACCAAGTGAGATAATTTTGATATAAAGTAGCACAGCTTGGTTTATCAATTTGATTCTTAGACTATAGAGAAATATAATCAATTATGAATCAAATAGAGTTGAGAAGATGATCTTGTATTGTTTTAACTTTCATTTTAGTATTAAGGATATCTTGTGATATCCAATTTAAAAGATCTCTTTTAAGTAAATAGCTCATGAAATTACTAGGTGTATTAGAATGTTTCAAAATTTTTTCAAGTTGCTTAAAATATCCCATATTACCCTTGCATCTAGAAGACACATCTAAGCATACTATATACCTATCACCTATTTCAACATGAAATGAGACATCATAATTACTAAGAACCATATATCCAGCGAAATTCTTAATTGTTTTTGGTTCAATTCCCTTATGCTCTATAGTTATATATAGCTCAGTAATAAGAGATTTCAAGTGATCATTAGCTTTTTGCTATTCTCCTGATACTATTCCCATTTCATTTAAAAGGATAAGCTTTTTAGCTTGGATACAACTATTAAATCTTCCTAATATTTTCTTGAGATCTGAGAACATAAAGAATAATTCTGAATCTAATACTTTCTTACTAATGAAATCAGTTAAAATATTTTTTCCTGAACAAGAGGAGAACGTAATACTAAAACAGTTTCAGGTTTTTTTTGGATATTGTATAAGATAAGCCAATCAGTTGATAATATATTTAGAAAGGTTTTTATCTCTATTACACCAAATGTTTTCTATATGCCAAGTGATCAAATCAATAAGAGCAAAATTAATTTCAGTTGATGGTTTGGTATTGAATCCCAAAAAATATTAAAGAATCTGATATTTGGTGGAGAGTAGGTATTAGGAGAATATGATAGAAAATCAATATACTATAAAGAATCAAATCTTTTGAAACTGCTCAATTTATTAATAGTTTTAATTCTACTGGTTTCCTTTTATGTTCGGTTATACTAATTTCATATTTGGCAAAATCTAGTTTAGATGCTATATAAAATAGAGACCATTATCTAAATCTTTTATTTTAAATAACTATAGTCTTGAAGTTGTTTAAATGCATGCAACTTTTGCTTGAATTGCTTCATATATCTCTTTGCATATATATCTTTGTTCAGATATACACATATCTAATAGATTTCATCATACAAAATAATCGCTTGGATTAGAAATTCTGTATTGTTCTAGTTTGGAGGGAATTAAAAATTTGTTTTCTCAATTCTTGGCTGATTGATTAATAGTAAGTTTTATTGAAGGTTTTTTTGTTTCAAAATTTCTTTTATCATTTGTATGATAGCAGTAGAAACTATATGATTTCTTATTTTGAATAATATATGCATTGTCATTTTCATATATATGGTCATTTTGGTCTTTATTTTCTTGTTTATATAATGAACAATTTGAAGGTGTTATGCGTTTAAGACAAAAAGTGTTAGGATAATTTTCTGTAGGATTTGACATCTCATATTCTAAAATATTAGCATATTCCAGTAATTCTTTTACTAATTCGAGCTCAGTTTCACTACTGTCTATAGTATTATTACATATTCTAATTAACTTTGAGATAGGTATGGAAGAATTTTCTATATTCAATCCTGGAGCAGATAGATAAGAATTATTTATATTTGATTTTAAGGTATCTAAAATAGGACTATCTATAACTAGCACCTCATCATTAGGGGGCAGAGTATAAAATCAAAAATAGTACCATTTTTAGATATAACGGCTCTCTTTGAATGAACATGTTTATCAGTATCTTTGATAATCTTTGGTGTTCCAAGCATTCACAAAGAGAATAAACTTTTATTTGCAATATTATCAACAATATCTTTGCTCTGTAAACCCACTAGGAGTTTTTTACAAACAAGCTTAGTAAATAATGCACAAGCTGTGATATTTTTAAGTCTTATACCGAATGTTAATATATAGTATGATATTTTTTTCTGATTGCTACTATTGGCAACAGTTAAGGTTTTAATATTCCAATTTGGATAAATCTCAATACATAGCTCTCTAAAAGCTCTAATTAAAGCATAATAAGCTTCTTTATATATAAGTTTTGGTTTGATACTATATAGTGTTTCTTAGGATAAATCAAAATTAATAAATGAATGAAGTGAATCATCTCCATCAATAATTTCGTGTAGTGAATGTCTCTGATGCTTTGTAAATATAGCTTTATTCTATCTACAGATTTTATATAAATATTCAGCTATACTATCAGCTTTAGCTCCTGATAGTAGAAGACCTTATTATTTTCTTCCTCTATCTCTGGTATATAATTGATATTTTTTTAGAAATTTTGGATATCCATGGTTGATATAGTCGTTGTTTTTATAATATATTACCCTAATAAAAAAGTTTAAATCAAAAATAATTATTGAATATTTTTATCTGAGATAATATTATACAGAATCAAGTAAGTTTCGACAAACAATAATCGATAACAGGAACTTATATTTGTCAGTATTCTACTAATAAGGGAGAAATCTGTAGACAACCTTGCTATCAACAAGAAGGATATACTATTCATAGAAAAGGCGTTAACCTGTTCCTTGTTTAGAATGTGGTAAAGCAACTGCTTCTAAGTATAGCTTATATAATTTACATGCAAATAAATGTCATGCTAAAGCATTTTATCATCAGAATAAGCTATCTAAAATAGTACAGAATGGGCAAACAATAGAATCTTTAACACAGATCTTCGATGAAACTAAATTGTTATCCATTGTCTTTAGAAAAAATTGGCACTAAAAAAAAAAATAACTGGAGATGGAAGTGAGGCCAATGATTTGGCATTTTTTAGTTTCTAGAACCTTTTTTCAAATAGCTGTCTCTAGTGACTCTAGTGGACCTAGCAAAATCTTGAGTTTCTTACTTTTATTTTTCTTTGTTTTTCATATATATTTGTTATATATATATACATATATATGTATTATCTATTATATACATTAGATACTATAGAGTAATAAATTTTTTTCTAGAATCTTATTTTTTCTTAAGGACACTAAGATTACTAGAGACAAGAATAAAAGAAAGAAATCAAACAGCTCCAGAAAGTCAAAATGCTGGTCCTAGTAGTGGCCTTAATAAAATTTCAACTAGGGTTGAGTTGGGACCAACTAGAGTTGAATTGGGACCAACTAGGGGCAAGATAAGTTGATATATTTTGATATAACATGTCTCTAAATATAGGCAAAATCGATTTAATAGCATTTCCTGATAACATTTCTAATGCTGACGATTTTTTTTTTGGACGCAAGCAGATCTATTTTAATCGCACTTTAGAATAGTGAATATAAGTAATTATATGATAGTATTTACATAATATACTTAATATACATATTCAGTAGCATTAATCAATAGCATACTCGATAGCAATTAGATAGCCCTCACATTGGGCCTACAAATGACGACATATGATTGAATGCATCGTTAAATATTTTATTTGCTCATATGACCCAGTAATAATAAATTTATATTTGCATCATCTGTGATATAATAGTAATCACATTATCACTTAAATAATGATAAATTTGTGTTTATATCATCAGTTATATATAATTTTGTTGTGACACTTTGTAGATGTTTGTACTTGATTGCATTGTCATTTGAATAACAATAAAAATTTAATCGTGTTATCATTCATATATGTTAGAGTGATGATAAAAAATTAATCATGTCATTATTCATATATGTTAGAGTGATGACAAAAAATTGATTGCATCATCATTCATATATATTAGAGTGATGACAAAAATTGATTATGTCATTATAAGTAGGTAATAGTTTAATGTAAGTAGATAATAGTATATATATACTATTACCTACTGTATATTAAAATGAAATCTAATCAAAATGAAATTTTTTTGTTTTTTAAGAAAAATTTAAAATTTTTTTTGGGGTTCTTTTTTTAGTATTAGAAGTAGGTTTAGAGTTAAGTTTATTAATAAATAAGTATATGTGAGTTTTATAGACTTTAAGTGTAGGCATAAGAGGTCTCTAGTTTCATTTTAATCAGATTTTATTTTAATCTGCGATACTTACTAATAATGATTTAGAACCTGAAATATCAACTGTTTTATATGGAAATCATTGAAGTCGACCTCAAAGTCAACCTCGAGGTCGACCTTGAGGCTGACCAAAACTAATCAAAACCAATCGAGATACAAGTAATAGCAGTCATCGTCGTGGTAAACATGGTATTGGTAGTAGTATGGACCACTATAGAAGTAGTTATAGTCATCCATATACTATATCTGATTACTCAAATGTGTGATTAACTAACATCAAACTTGAATTTTTACCAAAAAACACCACCACTTATCTTCAACCAATGGATGTAGGTATTATTTAAAACTTTAAGTCTAAATATAAGTGAAAATATATTAGATATATATTAACACAGTTTAAAAAAAATAAAGATTTAAAAAAGTAAAAATGTTTTTAATTAGGTTATACAAAATTGCTCAGTTGGTTTTTATGATGTGGTAGGATTAATTTCTGCAAATCTTTGAGAAAAATTTTTATTATTTGGAGTTCTGCAACAAAAAGCTACTCGATTATCACCTTTTACTATGGAGCCTTATTTATTAAAATTTTTTTATAGCTATATAATAAAAGCTAGATTTGTGAGTAAAATTTAAATATTAGGGGTTTCAAAGTTAACAAATGAGTGGTGCATTTTGAAATTAAATAAGAGTTTGAAAACTCTTATTTGTATTTCAAAATTTTAAAATTGGAAAATAAAATGTAAGTGACTGGAAATTCTCATTTAATGAAATAAATAGAATTTCAATGACAAAAATTATCATTTTAAATTTATTGGAAAATGAAATAAAGTTGATATATCGCTCATTTAAAATTAAATCTATAATCAATTTCAATTAAAATTAGATTTTCATATTTTAACTTTGAAGCCTTCTATTATAAGAACAAACTGTTAATTTTATATAGCCCTATTAATTTAAAAAATTTTTGTTACTAATTCTGCTTCTAATTTTTAATTAAAAAAAAGATAAATATCAAAGATACTATCTACTATATATCTAAGTCTTGAGACGAAGTTGAAGATTTGGTGATTGTTAATTGTTAGAAAAAGACTAAAATTTTACTGTCAGTTTTTCTTGAAAAAATAGAAGTTGCTGTTAGTAGTTATGATATATCATTAGAGCAGCAAGAGAAGGATGTCAATATGTTAGTAGTAGATTTGACCTCTCAAGATCTGGATTCAGAAATTGAGTGCCAATTGAATATATATTTAGATCTCAATGATTCACATATTCTAATAGAAGAAAAGCTTGAAAATTCTGAAATTATTGAAATTATTTTGGATGAAGCAAATCAAGATGAAAATGGTGATCATTTCATTATAGCACTCCCACCCATCTGGAGAATCTTTTCTTAATAACATGACTTCATCTAGTAATATCAAACTTGCTTATTAAGCAACATCATCTCAAACCAACTCCACTACAACAGAAACAATAACTGAGAAAAATATATCAGAATACAAACATGACACTGCTTTACCCATATATAACAAAATAATAATTATTATACACAATATACAAGAGCTGAATATAAAGCTCAAAACACAACTATGGCTTAAATTCTACAACACACACCAGTTCTATTTAATAAGCATGACTGAAATAAAGCTAACTACATCTACATACACTAACCTACAGATCAGTAATCCTTACTACTACATATATACTGCAAACTGTGATATCTCAACAGCAAAAACTCAGAAAGCAAGCATGGGAACAGCAATAGCTATTACAAAACTACTTTGACTATATATTCACAACATCATCACACATCCTGGTACCGCTATTGCTATTGATCTCTTTTTCTTTAATCACAACAAAACCTAAATTATATCAGTATATTTACCATCTAATAACAAAGATCTTAACTCTGAAGCTACTAAAAACAACTACCATACCATAGTATTAAGAGACTTCAACTTCGACTGCAGTAAATATTTTAAAAGCATCACTGTTTTTTAGACAATACAAACAACTGAACTCGTAAGCCTATTGAAATATTTTAATATTACTTCATCTACATAGTCTAGACAAAACAAACAAAGCCAAATCAATGATATATAGTTACCCACTCACTTTATACATGCCTTTACCTGCTCTATACTCCTAATAGCAGATCTGATTACCAACAGTGATCACAAAATTATTAGTATAGAATAGAAATACAACTTAAAAATAAAAATCTCTAGAAATAGTATACCAATATGATCAAATGACAACAAATCTATAGACTGAATTTGCCTAAACAGCAACAAGCCAGATTAGCAAAAATGTTATTGCAGACTAACAAATAATGAACCTTAAAACCCTCAATAAATACTGGCATGAATTTTATACAGCAATCAAACATGTCATATTAAAAAATATACCAACTACTACAACTTTACCCAAAACCTTCTATGCTTTTTCAATCAAGGCCACAACACTACATCACACTTTTAAAACAATTAACAAACTAATCAGAAAGCTATATAACAAAACAAATATGAACCTCGATATATAACAAATCAATTCGTACATCCATCAAATAAACAAATATAGTTAAGCAATACTTAACCTAATAACAGAAAAGACCTAATAGCAGACAACATCAACACAACAATAAGCAAACCTAAAGAGACACAAAAAGTGATTTATTATACAAGGAAGCTCAAAAACAATATTGCTTATATACAAACTATAAACTAGCACATCCAAAACAGAAATAATAATTTCTCTAAGAATATATCTAAAATAATCGATAGCATATTGAAAAGATGCTCAGATCTAATAATTCTCCATAACATATACACACCAACCGACATTATCACAGACTTTCTTTAGATCAAAAATCATATACAAACTCACTATGAAGTATGGACTAAATCTAACCCCACAAATGCTCTGCTCTGAAACACATAGCAACAAAAATACGAACAAAACCTAACATACAAACCTCATAATACAAGAATCTTTCAGACACCATCTCAATAGAAGAGCTCAGCATAGCTATAAAGAAAATGCCTACCAACAAAGCTGCTAGACCACAGAATATTTCTAATAAAATGCTAAAGCATCTAAACAGCACTATGCTCACAATATTACTCAATATATACAATGCTTGCTTGCAGCTACAACAAATATC